TACATGGTTTTCATTTCCTGTTCGACTCTAACTCGACCATTCGTCGCATCCTCTGGCTGATACTGATGCTTGTTTGTCTGGTCATATTAGCTATTACTGTCAAGGAAAATTACTTGAAGTTACTGCGACACGAAAGCTCGGTAACAAAGGACATTGAACATTCAAAAAGGTTGCTTTTCCCAGCCGTCAGTATTTGCAATCAGAACATGCTACTGAAAAGCAAAATACAAGGCACTGATGCTCAGTTATATTTGGATGGTATTGACTACCTCATGCCGGCGAATCCGGGGGATGCTGACACACAACGGGCTCCTCGTGGGGTTAGTACGTCGTTTGATATTGAGAAAGCTGTGCGAGAGGCTGGGCATAACCTCACAGCCATGTTGAAGTTTTGTAGTTGGAGAGGCGAAAGGTGTGGTGCGGAAAATTTCACTACCTTTGTATCTTTTTACGTAAGTATACGGTGTTAAAGCTTCTGAGTCTGCCATTGCTATAAAATCCACGAGCAAGGATCAGTAGTTAGTCGTTGTACTAAATAGAGCGGTTTAAATTGAGGTCGTGAACACACTAATCCATTTTTATAAGTATCCGGGACGTCTCGACGAAAACGAAGCAAAATATTTTCGACCTCACTTACGTTTTCGTTTTGTTCTCACCTAGCCGGATCCCGAAAACGCTGATGGAAGCGACGGCATATGACGCTTTTTACGTCAATGTTTCCAAAATCTCTGTTTTCACCTATCCACGCGAGAAGCGGAACGTTTTCAAAAGGTTCTACTTTTGAAACCATTTTCGAAAACCTCCGTTTTCATCAGCACTTTCGGTGGTTGTTATAGTGTGGACGATAAGCAAAAAGCATCAAAAGCATGCGTTTCATACGAACGTACGTATTAATGTTGTCGAGGCCTGAGTGCCATGAGACTAAAACCAAAGTAATCACTCCAGCCAATCACAAAGGACACAAAAAATACATTGAACCAATCAAAACTCGAAGTAATTACGTGTAGCTGAAGCGAAACGCGGAAAACGAGTGCGAGCGAGTCACGTTTGGTTTTAGTTTTACTTCTGATTGGATGAAAAAATGGCGCGAGTTTTTTAAGCCAATCATCTAGCGTGGTAAGTGCAAACCCACATATTTTACGACACTTAATTGAAAACCGCTCTATGCGTAAACGAAATGACACCACTTCTCGTGTCGCATCATAGTCCTTTTTTTCATTATTTATATTGGCAAATAATTTCCGCTAAAATTCCACAGAAGCGACCTTAAGAAGGTAAATCCTGTTCTGTCTTTATTGAGGAACTGAGCAGGTCTAACACAAAAAGAACTCGGCCAATAATTTATTTCCTCTGTTCGTCTTCTTCTGACGTTTCGACAACCTGAGCGGAAGCCTCATCTTCAAAGTCAAGTGACTATTCTTGTGACTCTGAAGAGAACTACCGCTCAGGTTGTTGAAACGTCAGTGACCAACAGCAGTTCTTTTCAGAACTACCCTCACCCGAACGATCACACAAGACGAACTACTGATGCTCTGGGCTTAGACCACTTACTAAATTTGTTTTCTCAATGCGC